ATATCTATATATATATATATATATATATATATAAAGTAAAAATATATATATATATATATATATATATATTTTTTAATATTATATATATATATATATATGTATCTCACTCACACACACACACACACTCTATATATATATATATATATATATATATATATATATATATATATATATATATATATATATATATATAATTTTAAAATTTGTTAAAATGTTTGCCTTTGTATAATACATATACATAATATAGTATATAATTTTAATAAATTAAAAAATGGTTATATATATATATTAGCCATTTTTGTATAATTTGAAATATATTTGGGTTCAGTGATATTTGGAAGTTTTACATTACTGTGAGGGGTAGGAGTTGAGCGGGGTGTAGATGTTTATCAAACTCAATTGAATTATTAATTTAAATCAGTTGAAACAGTAATCCTCAGGTCACAGCTGTGTAGTGAAGCACCTGCACCGGTCTTTACCGTCATCCCGAGAGTAACCGGCAGATGGCGGGAAACACCGTCACATGATCACTTCAGCTCCAGGATCAGTTTAGTGAACACGCCATTAGTCATCATGCTTCACCAGGCAACTGATGCCATTCAGAATTACAGTGAAATGTCTTCAAGATGTTTTGTTCAAATATGCAAATGAGGCATAACTACATTAAATATGCGCTAATTTGCATGAAAAGCAAACAGTGAAATCGGAGCACGAGTTGTTTCTGACACATTAGAATCTGCTTTACAGAGAGGAATATGAACATAAGTAAATAAATCAGGAAATACTGCAATATTCTCACATTTTGCTTATTTATTTTGAGAAATAAACGTATTTATAATTTGACAAATTATCTATAAACATATCCCTCTACTAAGGATGATAAGTAATGTGGGTAAGACTGCGTGTACAGTGAGGACTGCTGAAGTGCACATCTCTGTCTTAGTGCAGGATTTCTCCTAAATAAAATATATAAATATATGAATATGCATTATCAGTGATCTCCACAGACAGCTGCATGATTCTAAAGTGTTTTACCCGCAGTGTCCTGCTTTAAATGAATGTTTGTAATAAGGATGACTGAGCTAAAGGCCAGTGAGTGCAGAGATATAGCGCTAATGACAGAGTGAAAACAGCTTCATTTATTAGTGCTACATTAATCATCTGTTCACATCTAAATATCTGCACTCTTTACAAAATCATCCTCAGGAGTGATGTGCAGCACAAACAGCTCAACCCATCTTAAATCAAGACACAAATACTGGAGAAACAACACAAGTAAAGAGTTAAACATGAAATCAGTGACTAAAACAAGAGCCAACATCTGCACATGGAGTCAGAAACACCCCATCACCAGAGTAAACGTGTGTGTTCATCTGACGACATCAGCACATCTCTGCACGGGCTTCAGTTAGAAGAGGATTTTCTTCAGAAAACAAGACGTAATAACTGATCATTCTGCTTCTGCAGTGAACGCCTCTGTGCCTAAAAACAAGACCAAAACACTGAGACAGAATTTGAGTGTTAAAATCACAAACAGTCCCTCAGTGTGTCCAATATCAGACATTTCAACAGCAAAACCACACTCAAATCACTACACTCAATTACAGCAAACACTGGAGTGCTTAACCACATTACAGTGGAGAGTCTCAGTCCATCTGCTGTGGTGATTCTACAGCTGCTATGGTAACACAACAACTACAGTAACTGATCTGCTGTGGTAATTATACAGTTGCTATGGTAACACAACAACTACAGTAACTGATCTGTTGTGGTGATTCTACAGTTGCTATGGTAACACAACAACTACAGTAATCGATCTGTTGTGGTGATTCTACAGTTACTATGGTAACATGGCAACTACAGTAATCGATCTGTTGTGGTGATTCTACAGTTACTATGGTAACATGGCAACTACAGTAACTGATCTGTCGTGGTGATTCTACAGTTGCTATGGTAACACAACGACTACAGTAACAAATCTGTTGTGGTGATTCTACAGTTGCTATGGTAACACAACTAAAGTAATTGGTCTGTTGTGGTGATTCTACAGTTGCTATGGTAACAACAACTACAGTGATCGATCTGTCGTGGTGATTCTACAGTTGCTATGGTGACACTACAACTACAGTAACAAATCTGTTGTGGTGATTCTATAGTTGCTATGGTAACACAACTAAAGTAATTGGTCTGTTGTGGTGATTCTACAGTTGCTATGGTAACAACAACTACAGTGATCGATCTGTCGTGGTGATTCTACAGTTGCTATGGTAACACAACAACTACAGTAACAAATCTGTTGTGGTGATTCTATAGTTGCTAGGGTAACACAACTAAAGTAATTGGTCTGTTGTGGTGATTCTACAGTTGCTATGGTAACAACAACTACAGTGATCGATCTGTCGTGGTGATTCTACAGTTGCTATGGTAACACAACAACTACAGTAACAAATCTGTTGTGGTGATTCTATAGTTGCTAGGGTAACACAACTAAAGTAATTGG